GCTGCTTTTTAATACTTTAGTGAAAAACACAACAGAGTCCATATTCCAAGCTATCAAGCAATGCCTGAATGCTGCAGCGCAGGGCAAACAGGAGAGTCTGGACACTGAGAGGCCTTAGCACAGTCGTGCAAAGATGCCTTCTCACAGCTGTGAGTGACAGTCAATAAATCCCCAAGTGGGAAAAGGAAACATCTAACGCAGAGAGGAGCCTGCACATGGTGACTGCTACCATTTTCATCTACTGGGTCCAGATGAGCAATAGGGCAGTGGTGACATGACTATCCTAAGTGATGGGGTGGCTCCTCACACTTGATGGGATCCCACAATGACATCCATGGGCTTGGAAACGACAGGGGACAGGACGGCCCCTTGCTAAGGACATGTGTTAGTTATGTACTCCCAAGAGGCCAGGACAACCAGAGACATCACATCCAATACTGAATAAATCATTTTTATACCCTCTGCTATCAATCTGCAAACGACATTTTGTTGCCTTGGTGAAGAAACTGTCTAAAGGCTGAGATAAGTTAGGGGTGGTCTCATAATGGAAAATAATCAGATTCTTGGCAAAGCAGGCAACTCCCTTAATAAATATCAAATTATTTTCTGAGTACAAGGCCCGTTGCTCTTTGTCCATGAAATCTTTTTGGTGAGATGCTCTTTTGTCGCCCTTTTCTGGTTGTCTTTTCCTCTTCTTTTGGGGTCTCAGATTAAACACCGCCCAGGGAGATCCAAGCAGTGGATCGTTCTATGCGCTACCCGAGTACTCTGCTTAGTTCCTATTAACTATTTATGTTAATAACCATAAATGAATGACCCTGCACACTTGAAATGTCAGCCCCAGGAGAACAAGGACCATCTCTGTCTGTCTGTCTTTTGTTCTCCCAGATCCAAGGGAGTTACCTGAAAATCTATCTGAAAAACTAAATGAGTGCAACATCTTCAGAATACTTTTCAATTTTAACACCGATTACCTTGTAAAGCAGTTTGGTAGTTTGGTTCTCAAATTCGTTAATCTAGCTATAACTAACCACCACACTCAATACAAGACTTCGGTTTTTCTAAATGATAATACATTTCTTGTTTGCTTGGCATTTCTGTTGAGGGCTCCCTATCAGGACTCTACTGCTACCTGGTGGTGATACAGTGAATTACAGGCAAACATCCTGGGTAGGGGGGTTTGGGCCATAGTAATCTCTCAAGAGAATTCACCATTTCTGCTTCAGCGAATCAACAAGGCATTACATCACATCTAAATCTACGCATCTGAGTTAATCGGATATAATGTGTGAACATTTATAGAGATTTACTAAGTCACTGTTGATATTCATAATTTAATCCCGCATATGGTTAAGGTAAAGCATGCAAATTAAATGCATGGAAAAAGACACCTGTATTTTGCCTTATGATTTTATAAATAGAAATGTGTTCCCATAGTAAAAATCAATATGTTTTGGGGAAAAAGAATTTTTTTTACCATAAACAATAAATAATACAATAACTATTTCCCTAAACATGGAGACCATTAAAATCCTTCTGAACCAATATTTGTGACATTCCTTTCTGTAACCAATCCACAGCTCATATAGTACCTCTCGTAGAAGCAGACACCTAACAAACATTGCTGAATAAATTCTCAAGGCCAGTGGACAGACCTGATTTCCTTCTTAGTTTACACGATTGCATTAGGCAGGCGACTGCTCCATCTGGCCAATTCAATAAGAAGTTTAAAGTTATTATGTTTAAACAGAGGTAAAATAAAACCATCTGTCAAGCAAATCAAGGGTTATTTTTTCCTTTCTTTTTAATCATCACGTAGTAAGGATTTAGAACCATAAAAGCAGGGTGATTGTTTAACTTTCAATGCGCGGCATGTAATTCAGTGAACAAAACTGAAATCTGACATTGTTGCCTTTTAAGATTACTGGTAGTCAGCTAGAGGGGAAAAACAATATGTAACATGTTTCTCTACCTGACTTATGTTTCTAGTTCCTGTAAAATGTCAAATTGAAGGTGACAAGGAGCAAGCTTCCTACTTCAAAATGTAACAAGAAAAGGCTCAGCCATGTGGTCCACAAAGACGTGCAGAACATCATTTTTACTGACAGCAAAACAGATTTTTTTTTTCCACAGAGGCAAATCCAAACAAACCTACTGCATATTTATTACATTTATTTTCAAAAAGTCAAGCTTGCTGTTAATATGCTTTTGGAATATAGCTGTTTTTTTGGTATCAGCATATATATGAGATATTTGCCTAGATACAGGAACCCACCTAATATTGATTTAATAGACTGTAAGGGAACAGTAGTGCTACTACTTTGGCAAATGATTTTTTTTTCAAGGTGGTTTAGAATATGTTCTTCCTAACATATGTGTTTATTTTGTACTCTCCAGAAAAAAATTAAAGAACGGCTTGCCATGTGCTGTGCTTTGTCTGAATGTCTGGCAAAATATGAAGTAGTATGATGAAGTTCCTGCCTTTAAGAAGGCAACTGTTTGTTTAAAAAGAAAGGCCATCACCAGACAGAGGAATAAATTCTTAAACAGGAGCAAACGTGAGTACCGAGGAAGGGTACCGACTTCGTGGTGAGGAAAGGAAAGCTTCCCACAGCAAGTGATGTTACATTTAAGGTGATCATGAGCTTTGCCAGCACAGCAGCTGCCTGAATAAGTTCTCCCCTAGGAACCTGTGTCTCCTCTCCATTATTTTATAATTACTGATTGCTTATTGACTGATCCACTATATTTTATAACCTAATTGGCTATATTATAAACTAGCAGGAAATCTGAAGACCTCTATTGTACAACAGATTTGACGGGTTGGCTTTCATTTTGTTTTGAAAAAGATATATTTAGCTATGGAACAAAAATGGCCAGCCATCTAGTTAACAAGACACTTTAAGTTAATCTGACTTGGATTTGATTCCATAATGAGGCTGATATTTCTTATTTTTTAAAAAAAAGACCCTAACATTGACAGATATCATGGAATTACCTTGCTTTGCCTGACACTGTAACTGAAATTGTTTTACTAAAGATTTTACTGGGGGCACCGAAGAGGAGTTGGGTGAATTTGTTTATTTACATCACACACTTGATACAGCATACGTGTAAAAAATTCCCAATTAAACATTATTTTTTCCTAAGTGCCTTGTGTTTCCATAGCCATGAAGGTTGTTTTCTTTCTCTTCCTGTTTTCTTTCCAACTTGTAGCCTCACTTGGACATTCTTAGCTCTGCCATAGATTGTCCACTTAAATCTTTCAAGCATTTCTCTTTGACATTTAGGACCATTCAGTTCTTGTTCAATTCCTAATCCCAATATTTATTTAGCAAAATTCTAATCAGCCAGACAACGTGTTTCTAGAGTCTTCTCAGAAGATAGCTGAGAGGCCATTAGTATCATATTAGTCTCGTGGCATTACAGACAACCACAGCATTTTGTCACAGTATTTCTTCCAAAACCATAGTTTTCTCTCAAATAGGAATTTTGAAATATAAAGTGCACTCTATTCCGTTATTCATAAATATATATTCAGTTTTGAACTTTTAATGAGAGCATATGATATAGTTTATGTTTTAATGCAAAAACAAAATTGGAACATTTGCAGGGAATATTTCAAAAGAGGTAAACTCAATGTACTGAGTAGAATGAGAAGAATATCCCCCCCATCTGTTTCACACCTTTTTAACAAGGTGAAAATGAGTAAGAGTGAATAGCAGACCTTGGGAAATATACTGATGCTGAGACTATCTTAGAATGTTATATTTGAACTATGAGAGAAAACTGCAATCTGGTGGCATGTCTCCCCTAGGAGAAATGTTTGCTACCACTATTACAAAATAGTTCATGGGAAAAATTGAATAATAAGAAAATGATTTATTTAAATGTTGCCTAGGCTACTTATGTGTTTCAATTGTCTTAAAAAAACGGAATACCAGACATGAAAAAGGCAGGAAAAATGTCCCTTTGATTTGGGTGTGTGAACAGAAAGGAAAAGAAAGGAATAGCATTACGGTCTTATCTCTCGTCTCCCTCCCTACAATCTACTACAGCAAGTTTACCATCTATGCAGGCATATCCTCTTGGACAGAGCCTGGCTGTTTGGGGGTATAATTTTTTATTACTTGCCTAATTCTATGGAAGAATACAGGTTACATTAAAAAAAAAAACTAGCTCTGTAGATTCTTTATCTTGCTTCCATCAAGAACAAAACAATATGAATCTTAGTCCTGAGTCAACTTCCACATCAGCTACAAAAATTACTCACATAAGGCATTTTGGGATTTTATAGACTTTACACAGAGCATTTTTAATGGTCCTGAAGAAAGTTCACTTTTTCATAGCAATGTCTCCAGGACACCCTCTGCCTGTCCTAACTTTCCCCTCCCTCCCAACTTTTAATCACCTCCCTCCAGGTTGGGGTTCTACACTCTCCTACCTCAATCATGTAGGAAAATGTCTCTTCTCAATGCTACAAACCACACAAGGACTGACAGGTGCTCAAATTCAACCTAAAGCTATTATT